GCTCAGCGGGGAGCCTGCTTCTCCCTCTGACCCTCTCCCCTCTCATGCTGTTTCTCTCTCGCTCACTCTCTAAAAAATAAATAAAATCTTTAAAAAAAAAAAAAAAAAGAAAGGCAACTAACAAAGTTCTGCTTTGCTAGAGCGAGCCAGCTCTTGAAAATAAAGAAAAATATCTGCCTACCCTGAACAGGGAAAAACCTACACAATAGGTTGGTACAAATAAAGGAGCTGAAAAATCTTATTAATTTCCATTGTTTCTCCAGTAAACCTAACACTACATACCATCAAAGCAACATAACAATAAGTGATTTTTTTCCTTTTTTTAATTATTAAATACTTACAGCTGTTGCCTCAGTTCAGGTGAATCTTGAGGCGTTCCAAGTTGATTCAGACTCCTCTGTATTTCCACAGCTATTATGATGAAAAGATAAATGTATAATTGTTATAAATGTTAGGGCAACAGAAATTAAGTTAGAAATTAATACAGGCAATTGGAAAATTAGAAAAAAAAACCAGAGAGATAACATAGAAAATGTTAAATGAGAAAAAAATGAAGAATAAGTGGTTTATTTAAATCAGTTACAATAATGAATTAATTTTCAAGAGGAAATTGTGTGGGGATGTAAACATGTGAAACTGCACTTATGATCCAAAAATATTATTTTCCTCTCTAGCTCCTCAGAACATTTACAACAATGGCACATGGACCTTCACTTAACTCTACTGGCATAAAACTGTGAGGAAAATAATTGTAACTTTACATGAATCAGTGGAATACAAAGTGAACGAATGACTGTTAATAAACAAAGGAGGAATAATAAAGATGAAACATTTGTAATTTTCCATGTAATAATGGATCCAGGCAATGCCAACAGAGGATGCTGAAACCAGAGAACATTCACAGAATCTGAAATTATCACCACATGGATGACATTAATAAAAGAACTAACTTCACCTTGGATAAATTTGTTGCTTAAAACAAATGATCAGGGCACCTTAGGTGGCTCAGCTGGTTAAGCATCGGACTCCTGATTTCAGCTCAGGTCATGATCTCAGGGTCCTGAGATGGAGCCCAGAGTTGGGCTCCCTGCTCAGTGCAGAGTTTGCTTTTCTCCCTCTACCTTCCCCATGCGTGCACGTGTGCTCACTCTCTCTCCAATAAATAAATCTTAAAAAAAAAAACCCACAAATGATCAATTTTTTTTTGTTTTTAATTTTAGAGAGAGAGGGAGAGAGCAAGAGTGTGTGTGCGTGGTGGGGGAGGAGGGAGAGAGTCTTAAGCAGGTTCCATGCCCAGCATAGAGCCTGATTCAGGGCTTGATCTCACAACCCTGAGATCATGACCTGAGCCAAAGTCAAGAGTCAATCCTATGCTTAACCGACTGAGCCACCCAGGCATCCCAAAACAAATAATCAAATTTAGCAGCAACAATGAGACAAACTGGCATGATGTGCTTCCTGACATGATGCAATGAGAAAGTCACAATGTGATCTACATATATTTTTTTTTTCCCCAAAATGTTTAACCTGAATCTAATCATGAGGGGAGAAGAAACAGACCAATCTAGACTGCAGGATAATCTGAGGTTTTAAAAATGTCAATATCATGAAAAGGAAAAAAAAAAAGACAAAGCAGGGGAGCTTTCCAAATTAAAGAACTAAAGCACCCAAATTACTAAAATACCCAAAAGCGATGTAGGATTTTGGACTAATCCGGATTCTAAATCAGAAGGAAAAAAATGAAAAAAAGGGGAAAAAAAAGAAGGGAAAAAATGCTATAAAACAAATGTGGGGCTACTGAAGACACTTGAATATGATTTTGAAATTCGAATTTGGAGAGAGATACAAAACAAAAATGGAAAAATGTCGACTGGTGAACCCAGGTGAAGGGTATATAAAAAGTTCACTGCACTATACTTAAAATTAAAAGTCAAGAGTTAAACTTCAGGCTAAGCTCACAATCCAAAGTCTATAAACACTGCAATTTTTATAAAAAGGTTATTCTTTCACCAATGGGGAGGTCCTATAGCTTTATGCATGTATGCAGACAAGTAAAATGTCAAGTAGAAGCTGAATATCCATCTTCAAAGTAAAGACTTTGCACATTTCCAAGAACTAGAGAAAAATGATCCAACTGACCCATTCTTTTTATTTTATTTTTTAAAAGATTTTATTTATTTATTTGACAGAGAGAGACACAGCGAGAGAGGGAACACAAGCAGGGGGAGCGGGAGAGGGAGAAGCAGGCTT